CACAGAGAGATATACTTAATAATAGAGCTGATTTGTCTTACTGACAAAACTGCATGTCACTTGCTTGGCTGGCATAAAAAGTCTCCTGCCTTGCTGCAGCTTAATCTTTAAGTATTTACTCGCAGTGTAATTTGGCACACATTATGCTAATGCTTGAATCTTTTGTATGATATAATGACTTATAAAGGTAGCATTGAAATGTTACAGACTCTATTCTTTTTCTTGTATATTTTGAATGATGATATCATGCAGTGTCTCTTAGATGGCAACCAAAGTGGTTGCTCTTCTTTTTCATACATATATTTTTTCATGCTACGTTATCCCTCCAGGAATCATGTGGACAGCATGGCGCGTGTCACTCTGCCTCAGGAGCCCAACGTGTCTACCAGCTCAGTCGTCACCACCAATGCTTCACCTCCTGCGCGCACCATAGGAAGGTAATCTACCTTGGTTACATTGAGGTTTCTTAATCCTGGGGTGTTTTGTTAACGATATGGTAATGGCTTTAGGTTGGATGAAGTTTTAAGGGTAAAGGGCAGGGGTTCCCAACCTGGGGGCCATGGAGCAATATGAAAATTATGAAGTCAAGTTAAACTGATTTTTATCTTACTTACTATACCTACATATGATTATCTCTCACATATCAATGAATTGGACTCCATCCATAAAGTGTTTCTGTCATATAGCTATTGTCACCATTACACTATTCATGACTAGTAATAGCTGAATCAGAAAAGGTGACAGAAACTAAATGAGGCCATAGGGGGCTGGTTGTTGTTGATATATATATATATATATATATATATATATATATATATATATATATATATATATATATATATATATATAATATATGTATATATATATGTATATAATATATATATATATATATATATATATATATATATATATATATATATATTTTTATTTTTTATTTTTTGTAAACTCATTCAGTACAGGAGATTATCTTGATATAGATTAAATAGGTTTTGGCCATTCTTTTTCGTTTTGGTTCACATAAACTGATTATTAGCTGAATGATTATAGCATATACTATTAGTATAAGAGGATCTTTTCTGAAGATTTGCTAATTGCAGAAGATTGCCAATGCAAGTGAATGTGGTTTTATTCTTTATAAAAATAGCTATCTTATGGTATTCTCTTGAAGTAGAATATCTGTTAAAGTAAGCAGTTCAATAGATGAATATGTATTTTATATATATACATATATTTTATTGTTTTTTGATATTTATAACCTGTTGGAACCAGAAGGGCAAATATACACCCACTTTGAATTTAGTTTATTCATATTGTTTACATATAGATGGCTCCAGAAGAACATGATCACCAAGGAGTCAATTAGTATTCCTATCTGATACTATCTGTTTACCCATTTCCATGATTTTGGAAAATCTGTTTAGTGCTCTTAGTATTTTTAATAACTGATAATGTCAATAATAATAACTGTTGTGATATTAAAAACAAAAAATCAAGGAATGAGGAAATCAGGTCAAGTCATATAGCCTTACTTATTCACTTTTGAGTAAATACTTGAGGATACTTTTATGTGTAAACAAAATTAATAGACTAAAATTCTAAAAATTCTGTAGATATGGCATGTCTATTTGCCCTTCTGGCATCATCTGGTTAAGGAATGATTGCTAATAGATTTTCATAACTGGTTGTCAGTGTTTAAAAAAGTAAAGACATCATCTGGTTAGGGAATAATTGCTAATAGATTTTCATAACGGGTTGTCTGTGTGTAAAGAAAAAAATGGATAACTACACTTTGTGTCTGTACATGAAACTCATACTAAAGGACTGAGGAGCTCAATACAAATGCTTATGCTACAGTTGTATGACACTTTCTCAACACATAAAGAAAATCCCTATGTCTGGAAAGAAAGGGATACTTATGTAATTTTATTTCCCAATGTAATACATAATATACACAAGCTCATTAATACCTTTGTGTTACTAAAGAAAACAATTGGTTTTATAAACAGTGCTGTATGATGAATCAGCATCCTAATATTTGAGGAAGTAGGTCTGCTTTAGATAATCATATTTTGTATATTTCAGTGTATTTGTATAGAATTGCTCTATAAATATTACCGTTGCTCTTCTTCATTGGTTTTTATCTTTGTTTTTGGAACTTGTGACAGTTTGTAGCAGAAGTGTATATATATTTTACTGACAAGCTTTTCATATCATCCCTGCTGTTGGACTAGACCTATTTGAATTATTTTCTAAAAAGAGATGTCTGTATATATTGTTTGACAAAATAATGTTAGATTTGTTGTCCCTTAGCTCAGGTGTGTTTATATTAGCCTTCCCTATGTGTAAAAGTATAAAGCCTTGTCTCAGTGAAGCATTTTTTGGCTAATGCTTGTGGTTTAATCTTTAAAACTTTTGATGTCATTTTATGTAGCACCTCCCACAATCTCTTATGAATCGCTAATCTTTTTCCAGCAACGTCACTCTCTTGGGGGAATTGCTATTCCTCCACCCCCCAAACCCCATCCCCCCCCCAAACAACCCAACCAGAACCAGCTCCCCTCCCCCTCTTCTCCTACATCCCCACCCCTCTCCTCTCCTACTTCCTTAGCCTCCTGCCATCACTTCCCAGCAGCCTCCACCTCTTTCTTCTCCTCCTCCTCCTCCTTCTCCTTCTACGGCCTCTGTAGCTTCCCCTCAGCCACTTACCAATGCTCAGCAGCAGTCCCCCTCGGCATCCAAAATGAGTCCGAGCAGTGTGATTAAGAATTTCTTCAAGTGCGTACTCCTACCACCCATGAGAATGACTTGTGACTTATCCATTTCATAGACATGTTCTCTTTTTCTTTATTTTTCATTAATTAATCATCATAGTTTTTGTTTTGTTGTATTTTCTTTGTGTATGTGTCTTTTTGTTTGTGTTAAAGGAAATATTGTTTTCCTTTCCTAAATGTGTGACCAAGGTATGGTTGCCAGACTAATTGGCATGTTGTTTGCCTGTTGTGCCCCTTTAACAGTTAATACCCTAAACACAGATTTGCTGAACAAGAAACATGAAAAAGAAATTAATTCCATAGATTACAGGATACAGCAAGAAATCTATCCAGAAGCATGCGATCTTTTCAATTCTTCTTAAAATTTATTTCTGAAAGATAACCACTGTTAATCTTTTTATTCTTTGTTGATTTTTGAAAAAGCATTTTTGAGGATAGTTAAGTTGCATATTAGTTATTTTTTACAACTGTGTATTTTTCATTTGTGTTTGATTAGTGTGCCATTTTTGAAGATTTTTGCTCTTTTATATTTATTTTTATTTTACTTAGTTTTGCTTTGACTTTACTTTAAATTATATTATTTATGATTATTTGTTGTCATTTCTTTTTTATATGATTTATTGATTTATTATCTGCTTCAGATTTATACATTTTATAAATTCATGCTTTGACTCTTAGTTTTGTTGAGAATGGTAGAGTTTTACTTTGATGAAAAAACTTGTTTCTTTATTCTTCATAGTAACACTGTAATTTAACTGAAGGAAAGATCTCATCTCGGTAACTGTCTAACTGTACTTAGTGCAACCTAAGTCTAACATGTTCATTTTTTCAAGGGTCATAACTGATATGGTTGTGTATTTTTTTTGTGGTTTTCACATTATTTATGTGGGTATATGCAGATTAGGAAGATCAGTTATTTATTTGTTTTGGCCATCAACATGCCAGGGTTAAATAGTTTTTTTACTTTTTTTATGTATATTTAATGTAGATATCCCCCTCCCCCATAAACATTGTGAAAATACAACCAAAAAAAATTCTCCCCCCTGTCCATGGCCAGGAATGAACCCACGCAAATGTATATCTTAATGTTCCTCACTTGCTCGTCGTTGGTGCTTGATGCCTTGTGTGTGCTAACAACTCAGGTCAATCACTACACAGACTTAAAATTTTAATTGCATATTAAGAAAGTCATAAGTAATTGTCTTAAACTAATTTTGTTTTATTTTTTTTTTTTTTTTTTAGAAGTGAATGGGTACAATTTTTTTTACCTCCTTCCCTTCTTTTTTGTATATATATATTTTTTTTTGAGAAATTTAAAATAATGCATTTCAGTAATATAACAATAATTATGAAAAAATAATGAAGGTGTATTAAAAGTAATAATAGATAAGAGTCCCAAGTCTGTGTGGTGATTGGCCCTGGCGTCACGTTGGGCGGTGGGAGCGCTGTGTGACCTGATGTGTAGCCTCGTGCACTCGTCTAGGTCGTTTGTGCCGCCGAGTCGTGATGAGGAGAGTGAGACTCAGAGGAAGGCCCATGCCAAGATGGTGCGATCGACTCGAAGGTCCACGCAAGGAGTTACCCTAGAAGATATCAAATCTGCCGAGCAGCTCATGAAGAACAAGCAGCAGCAGCAGCAGCTTCAGCAGCAGGCGTCTGTGAGTACCCTTCCAGAGTTGTTTTGTTTGGAAGATGTCTAGTCTTTAATTCCTTTAAAAGTTAGAAGGTATACTTAGGTAGGGTTCTGAAAAGCATATGAAAATGCGTCGATTCATATTTGGTATGTTGTCTTTGTTGTTGGACATGTATTGTGGTCGTGCACACTCTTTACATATTTATGGCAGTGCCATTTGAATGATTGATTTCCATCAACTTTTTTATATGTAATATTAAAGTAAGATATATGTATGGGATACTGAACAAATACAATAAGAGAAAGGCCTCAACACATTTCCAATAATGAAACTCAATAGACAGATTACAGTATTTCTTATTATTACATCTTACCCAAAAGCAATTAGTTGCTAGGTTAGCCTATAGATTGAGCAAATCCTAACTCTAGTTGGTAATGATGATGTAAGTCAAGGATGTGTTTCTGAGGAATTGCCTAGGCAATGGTAAGTTTCTTGTTTTTTGGTTTTGTCACAGTCCTCATTTCATTTTGTATCATGACACTACATTTTAATGTCTTGTAACAAAATGAGACATTGTCTTCACACTAAGTACTGAGCCAAAAATGGTTCAGACAGTTCATCAGATTCAAAGGTAACACAAGTATTTATGAATATGTGTGTTTGTCTGTGTGGATATTGGATATCTTTTTATGTTTTCACATGTATGTATTTGCAAAGAGAAATGGATGAGTGGATAGATGGTCATTAGGAATTTCATATTCATTTCCCCCAACACATTCCTAATAAAAAGCATAGGCACTTCATATTGAAAGGTTCCAGATGTTAAGATAACTTTATATAATCACATTCAGTCTCAAACCTTCATTGCACATTTGTTATAACTGATATGTTATGTGTATCTTTCCCTCCCTTAGGTGTAGGAATTATTTTGTAATACCAATATGTTCCTTCATTCTGAGATAGATTATTATTAATTTGTTTTTTATTTTTAATTTGAGCCATTCAGTTGAAATTTAATTACTTTTACATTTCAATTGATTTTTTAAGATTCCTTCTATTGCAATTGCATGAAAAATGAAACGTCTTGGAAGTATTTGTCATATATGCTCAGATGATACTATGATATTATACTAATGGTTCATGAAGACTTGATGTGTAAGGGTTACTAGAAAAAGAATGTTGCTCTTGTTTGTAAAGAAAATTGCTCACATACATACATTCTCATACCCCTACATGCATACATGTACAAAAGTGTACACATAGACACATAAACTGAAAAGTATATGGATAGCCAACCATGATACACTTTGGCATGAAGTGTAAAGATCTCACAGAAGAAATATATCAATCAGATTCTTTCCAATTCACCCTACCTCCCTACTCCCATATATAGAATTCTAAAATAGATAATGAGAAAAGCAGTGATAACTTATGTAACCCCTACTGCAGCATTAACGAGATCTGGAAACCTGCTTTTAAAGGTTGGAAATCCTCTCTTGCCACCCACAGACATCTAGTCCAGAGTCCAAGGAATCACCGTCCTCCACCCTCACTGTGTCCACCCCCACCACACAAGGCACACCCACAACTACCCCATCTTCACCCTCATCCAAGCCAAAGCCCGAGTCACCCACCAAACCCGAAGAAGAGGAGCGTCGGCCCTCCTGGAGGCTGAAGGTGGATGAGACTGATAAGAATAAGGTATGTGGAAGGCTCACTTTATTCTTTTATTTATTTATTTTTGTTGTTAGCTTGGTCGATGTTCGTTAGCTGTGAACACTTGTTGGTAGGGTTGGCTTTAGATTATTTTTCTATCTGCTCTTTTTAAAGATTACTTTGTTTGTTTGTTTGTAATCCGATATTAGTAGTAATTGCACTGTAATTTAACTGTGATTTTTCATTGCATTTATATATTTCTTTATTTGATTTTATAACTTTGCTTATTAATAGAAATGCATATCTGTTTAAGCCTAAGAAAAGTTTAACCACTCACTAAGCTGTCCCTCTGCTATCTATTCTTTGTTGTTGTAGTTGGTTTAACAGTCTGTTTTTTTCTTTTACAGTTTTCATTGGAAAATGTTCGATCAAAAGACAAACCTGAAGTTGAAAATGATGCTGAATCAGTCACAGTTCCACTACGTAAAAAGAATTCTGAAGAGAAAGCAGGTATGTCAGAATTTGGCTTTTTTTAGAGGGTGAAATCATAATTGTTAAAGTAAATAAAGTTTCAAAAAGTGTTTTAATATTCTTAAAAGCAAAAGGAGAGGACACTGTAGAACTTGTCATTTCTTATGCCCTGCAGATGAAGATAAAGATAGCGAACGCATTTCGCAAACGCGGGAGGGCACCCAGGCTGCAATCCAACGGCGGAAAAAACCCAAGAGGCGCTCCACGGGCAGGGTGCAAGTCAACATGGATGTGAGTACTAAAGGAGGATCTCTTTGTGTTTTGGGCCACACTTTTCTTTTGGTCCATTTGCAGGCATGCAAAAGATTCTTTGCTTCTGATGATCAGCGAGAGTTCCATTATCTGTAGATATGCTTAAATACTTAAATAGATACTCTTTTCTTTAAGTAATATAAGTAAGTGATTCCCCCCTAATAGGTAATTCTCCTGTGATGTATCATAGTATCACCTAATTTACTCAGAAACTATATCTAATCTTTATGCATACAAAGCAAATTCTTTGAAATTTAATTATGATTGGCAGTTAATGGAAAAAATAATCTGTTATGATCAAGTGGGTGGCAAAGAATACATGCCTTAAATCTAATATTCAAAATGGAATAAAGAAAAAGTGTGCTCATTTCAAAAATTAAGCTTGCACTAAAAAATAAGAATAAGTAATTTTGAACTAATTGCTTTTATTTTTTCATGAATTATTTATTTTTTTACTTGACTGCTACCACACTCATTTTTTCTTTCAATGTGCATTTTGAGCTTTAACCTTTATTTTTAAAAGATCTTTAATTATTTTAAAAATAAATCTCGGGCACCAGGAGATTGACCCTGAGAAGAGAGCACAGCGCTTGGCCGAGCAACAGCAACAGCCAGGCGATGAAGGCAGCGAGGAGGAGGAGGAAGAGAAAGATTCGGTGAGTAGTGAGTCTAGGAACTTTGGGCTTCACAGCTTAATGGCTTCATTGCTTATTTTTATATATGTATATTTTTTTCTTTGTCTTATGCTATTGTTTTAGCATCTTTTAAAAGTACCTTGTGTTTTGCTTTGTTTGTTTATGGCAATAAACCCTGACAAGATTCAGAGAGCTGGAATGGTGCTCTTCAGAGAATGGAATAGGTCAAAAATGACTACCGCTCTCTGAATCATTGGCGGTTGTACTGTGTGTTGTTGTGTTTGGTGGTCTGTATTTTCTGTCTTCTGCCTTTGTCTTTGTATGAATTTGTAATTGTCCATTATTATGACAAAGAAGTATTATTCTTGTTAATAAATTACCTGTTTTTGTATTTATGTTATGAATATAAGGAAGAATTGACAAAGTTAATGTTTTTTGGGTTTTGGTGAGGATTGGGGATCTTAAGGTGAGTGAGTGTGTGTGTGTGTGGGTGGTTGTGATTGTGAAAGGGAATGGGAGTGAATGGCTGGGGACTGGGAAGGGGAACGAGTAAATCATATGCGAATGGTTAAAATAGTAGTTTATACCCTGGTCTGTGTATTGCCTTCTTTCTCCTTCCTTCTTTCACCACCACTTTCTTCTTTGCGGTGATTCTTCCACCCACGTAGTTCACATCATTCATTCATTCCCGGCCGCACAAGTCATCTGTTTCCTTGCCCCCATTACCCCTATTTCGCAGGTGGTTGCCGTGGGATGTAGACGGCGTGTGTTTGTATTTTTATTATTATTTTATGTTTTATTTTGTGAATGCCTCCCCTACTGCTTGAATTAGTGCCAGGTGGTTGACATTCGCTCGGTTCGCTCAGGTGGTGCTAATGCGGGGTAGGGGGAAGATGAGGGAGAGAAGAAGAGGCGAATGGAAGGGGAAAGTGGCAGAAGTGGAAGAGAGAGAGGGGGAGGGAGAAAAGAGGGAGAGGAAGGGGAATAGGACAAGGAAGAGGGGGGCAGCTAGAGAAAATAAGAAGGGGAGAAGAAACAGAAAGGGAAAGATGGATAGGGAAGAGATGAGGAGAGAATGGAGATGGAGGAAAGGAGAAGGAGAAAAGAGGAGGAAGATCAATAGTAAATATTTCTAGGGAAAAGGCGGGATAAGGAATGAGCTGTTCGCAGAATAGACATTGGCAACGGACGGAGATGGCTCAAGAAGCTAACCGGAAATGGCATCTATTGTGTTTTGAAGTTTCTTACGAAACACAGCGAGATGGTGATTTAGTTAGTTATCGGCAGTGGATATGGCGCTTTAAGTGATCTTGCGCTGCTTAAAATTAATTTCTATAAACCGTAAAGGCCTTGATATAACCCCCTAGGTCGGATCTTGTTTGTTTTCTAAGTTGTGTGTAAACAAGCACGTTAAAGAGCATTTCTGGAAGGTCTTTTGTCAAATGTTTTTTATTTTTATTTTTTTTTTTTTACCTCGATTGTTGTCTTCGTCGCGGCTCTCGATGACGTTCTCCCGAACCCAGCTGTCTGCTTGATCCATCTGGCAGCCGCCTTTCCCTTCCTTCTCGACTGACCCATCTGCTATCCTAAAAACCCACGTGCTTCTGTGACTCATCGAATATATCTCGAGAGCCAGTTAAAGTCCATATTTAATATGTCGAGTTTTTGAGTGCTTGCTTGTGTGCGTTGCTTGGGCGTGCGTGGATGCCAGCGCCAACCAGTGGGATTGTGCGGTATGTCTTGGGAGGCATTTTTTGGCTGGTACTAGCTTTTGTGTGTGTGTGTGTGTGTGTGTGTGCGTGTGTGCGTGCGCGTTCGCGCTCGCAAGAGCGAGAGAGAGAGAGAATGTGAATGTGAATGTGAATGTGAATGTAGAGGGAGGGGGTAGAGGAAGAGAATAAGTATTGCTCTTTATTTTTCTACTTATTGCTACGCGAAAATTAAAGTGTATAATAAACGCATTTTCAACTATGGTGTTAAATCCCAATTAAATGTCACTTAATAGATTGTTGCCATTGATTATCATTGATAAATTTATTAGAACCTCTTGCAGATGCCGATCCTTACGTATGCATTTGATTTTTTTTCTCGAGGATTTCTTTCTTGTTTGGTAAATCTAATCACATCTTAGAGCCATAGTTGTTCAGTTTGAACGAATTTAATATAATCAAACCGCTGTCCACGGATTTGACAGTTAATTAAATGAAGTTTGTTTTCGTCGCTTGGAGCAGTGGGCTGTGGCTCCGGGGGTCCTGCATCGCCTTTAATCCAATGCCAAACGTGCCCATGCCAGCCGAAAGGGGAAGGAATATGCCCCAGCAAGTATGGCAAGCGTCAGCAAACAGCCTACTGGTATTATGTGTTGGTGCGCCAGACACGTGCAGATTGATCCATTGGACGAATGCACGCTGAGCTTTTAAGGGGAGGAAAATAAACATCTTGCGGAGGAGCAGGACCACAATCACCACCACGACACCACAACCAAAACTACCATCATAACAACCACAACCACCACCAAAAGAACCACCACATCCACGGCCACAACAACCGCTACCACAGGCACAATTACTACCACAACCACAATAACAACAACCACCACCACCACCACTAAGCCATGGAACGACCTTCGAAAGCATATTGCAAACCGCGACGACAGATGGCTGAAGTTCTTTCAATTCCAGAGATGAATGATGGAATGCAAATGGTTGGCTCTTGGTTTATCAGTATTTTAAGTCAGAGAAAGTGGATGGAGATACAAGAACAAAGCCCACGCACGTAGCATGACAGTTGAAATGTAGATAAAGAAGGGGAACATTTTCTCTCCTTCTGACTGGTTGGCGTAAATTCGTTCTTTGGCTGAGAATAACTCGCTAGACAGTATGGTTCGTTGTGAATCCCCGCTTCTTTGCTACCTCTTTATCCCTCTCGCTTTTCCTCTCCCTTCTGCCTTCGTCGTTTTCTCGCCTTTTCCTTTTCCTTTGATTTTTTTTTCTGTTCGCCTGATTTGTCTTTCCATCCACACTCCTTCCCCCTCTACTTTAGTCTTCCTTTCTTACTTTTTCCCCTTTCTCACCCTTCCTTTCCCACTTTTCCTACCTGTCCTTTCTCTCTTTCTCCGGATTTTCCTATGAGACGTAAATGCTCGTAGTGAAACTAGTCACTCGGAAGTCGTTTTCTCTATATATTTTGCTCGCAGGTGCTATTATAGGTCTGTCTATCTCGGTATGTACTTCTTAATGTGTGTACATGTATCTCAGCTTATGTCTATTTGTCTGTCTGTCATGTCGGACTTTATATACGCGTGTTTGTACACCAGCCTGTGTCTGTCTCTCTCTGCGTCCGCGTCTGCTTCCTTTATCTCTGACCGTTTTCACTTGTGCGAAAGGGAAGGGATGATAAAGGCGACAGGAATACGTATGGCGACGCCCCTATACGGTCATGTCCCTGTTACGTGGCAACCTTATGGCTCCGTCAGTCGTCGCTCACATTATGTCACCGCTTGGTACTCCGCCAGGACGCTTTCTGCTCCCCTCTTTTTTATTCCTCTTCCTTTTTTTGGAGTTTCTGTATATATGAGGTAATTAATTTGGCCTTGTTATCGGCGTCATCTCTCGACTTCTGTTCGTTGTTAGTTCTGTTTTTCGTGACTCATGGGAGTGTGGGAAAAGGGGAGAAGGGGAAATCGGTTGTATAATGCAGGTATCTCGAATAAAAAAAAAGACAGACAGACAGACAGATAAACAGATAGACATAGAGAAATCCAAAGAGGGCGGGCGGGAGGGAGAAGGGGGGGGGGAACGGTTTCTCTCGCATCTGAAAAGCTGTTCGATGACGTCACCATTTAACCCCGTGTCCATGAGATGTTGCATCGCGCTCCATATGCCATTTGCAGAAGCATTCCTCGAGAAGAATAAACGTGATCTGCGACATCATCTCCTCCTGGAAGACGATTTGTTTGTTCCCGGGTCATGCACACGTGATTGGTCATGCGTCACTTTGGACTCACGATGATTTATTTTTTTAGCGATCATGTGAGAGCGATCGGTCATCCCTACCCTTACCCCCTCTCCTCTATCCCTCTCTTCCTCTCCTCTATCCCGCCCTCGTGATGACGGGTCCTCCTGACGGCGATCCAACCATAACAGAACCCCCATAGTTTAGATCGGCATAGTTTCTTCCCTCCCCCCCCCTCCTCCCTCCCTCATGCCACGCCACCCTTGCCTTCTCACATCCCCATTCCTTTCCCCCCACTTTTCTTTTCTTGCCACTTCCTTCCCTTTCTTTCTCCTTTCCTGCCATCGTCCCCTCTCACCCACCTCTCCTCTTTCTATCCCGTCTCGTCCGTCCTTTCTTTTCCATTGTGCTGTGGTTCCCCTCGCCCCTTACCGTACCCAAGCTTGCCCTACCTACTCTATCTACTTTACCTACCTACCCTACCCTACCTACCCTACCCTACCCTACCCTACCCTACCCTACCCTACCCTACCCTACCTACCAACCTAACCTACTATGCCTACCTATTACCTTGCCTTTACCCTACCCTACCCTATCCTATCCTATATCTATCTGACTCTATCCTACCCTGGCTTTCCATACCCTATCCTATTCCTATCCTATCCTATCCTATCCTATCCTTTCCTTTCCTACCTGACTTTATCCTACCGTGGCCTACCGCACTATACCATACATTACTACTATAATGTACTCTCCCTGCCTTGCCTTTACCTACCCACCTCCTGACTTTATCTAACGTCCTACGATACCCTATACCCTACCCTACCGTACTACCCCTACCCTACCCTACCCTACCTACTACCTACCCCTACCCTACCCTACCTACCCTATACCTTTCTGCCCTACCTGCCTTGCCTTTCCCTACCCTATCCCCTACCTGACTTTATCCTCTCCCACCCTACCCTACTCTACTGTATACCCTTTCCTTGCCCTCTACTCTGCCCCCTTTCTCTGCCGCGCATTTCCTCTCTTGCTTCAACGTCGTTCAAGGTCGAGCGTGAAACAAT